ATATAATCCACTCTACAACCCTCATTGCATACTCCTACGATAAAAATAATGCCCTAAAATATAATACTTTTAGACTATTCTCTCCCCCATAGGACAGGCTCAGAACGGAAGGGGTAAACCTCTCATTTGCTTCTGTGCCCAGGTGTGTACAAAGAGGCAGCTGGGCAGTGAGTGTATGGGGGCGAGGGGGTGCTGAAGGTACAGGTGTGTAGAGGGGAGAGAATTTTGGCCTTGCAAGTGTCTATGGTCTCAGGAGTCAGTTTTTACAAATAGCAGCACATGCCTCTCCTATGGAGAGACCACTCCAGGAGCCTGAACCGGGTCCTGGAAAGGTAAGTATTTCCTGGCTGTCCAGGCCTTTCTGACCACTGGCCAAGGCAAGGACAGGCCCAGCTTTCAGAGCACTGTCCAGTGTGTTTTCCCCAGGATCTAGGCTCTGTGACCTGCCATGTGGAAACCCCAGCTGGCTGCTTCTACCAAGGTCTCCCATGACCTGGGATGGAATGGCCCTGGAGGGTCAATGAGGACTCTGGCTCTTGGCTTGAGCTTTGTAAGCAGAAATCTAAGTGACAACAGGCCCACAGGTCACTCTGATGTGTCTATGGCTCTAGCTGTACCCTAGAGGTCAAGACTTTCTGTAGGATGTGGACCACTTGCCCACAAATCCTCAAAAAGAGCCAGCTGTGATGAAGGCCAAGGGGTTCCAATGCTCTGGAGACTCAGAGCCACCTGGCCAAGAAGCATGGTGGTCAGAGCACAGGACAGGGAGTCACTGACCTCGGGTTAACGCTCCCCCTCAACTGTATCAAGAGTGTCAGCCACCCAGTAGGGCGACCACCTCTCTCCTGCCTGTCCCCCTTGACCGACTCGTCCTTGGTTCTCAGTGCCCAGCCTACCTACAGGGGTTGCCGCTCTCTGGGAGAGGGCAGATGGTCTCTACCCCACTGACTCCTGCATTTTGGTTGATGTCAGGCCACAGTTGGGTTGACACCTCCACCCTGTGTCCCAGAGAACAGGATGCCCTGAATGATGAGTGTCCTAGTGGTCACTAGGGGGAGCTCTGGTGGTCTAGTGTCAGGAAGCTGCACTGCAATCCCAAAGAAGCGTGGTTCGAATGGACCAGCTGCTCTGCAGGAAGATGGGTAATCTCCTCCTGTGTGATTAACTGTCTCTGAAAACCCACCAGAGGGTCAGCTATGGGCTGGATCCAGCTCGATGGTACACAACCACAGTGGTTACCGGTGCAGGGGCTACTTACTATTGGGCTGCTAACTGAACTTGCGTGACTTGCCCCTGTGCCTCAGTTTCCTCATCTATATAATGGGCACAATAATACCAACATAGAGCAATTGTGAGATTTAACGCAGACAATGCGCTCAAGTGCTCAGCACAGCACCAAGACCATAGCCTGAGCCCTTAGTGATGTTAGCCACCCTCCCTGCTCTCACTGTCGTTACGGCACCAGGACCACAAAGCTCTGATTTGCATGGGGCAGAGTCCAGGCTCCGTGTGGAACGCCTGCTCCTCTCCCAGAGGAGTGCACAGACCCCTGGCTGTCCAGGCTCAGCGTGAGGCGCTCACCGTGGCATTGACGGTGAGCTGGTAGGCCTGGGTGGTCTCGTAGTCCAGCTCGTGGGTCACCGTGACGATGCCTCGGGCGCTGTCGATGGCGAAGAACTGAGAGGGGGGCTGGAAGGAGTAGAGGACGCTGCCACCTGCGCCCAGGTCGGGGTCCGTAGCATTCACGATGAAGATGGGCGTCCCCACGGGGGTGTTCTGCGGGCAGAGCAAAGCAAATAGAGGGGTGGGTGAGAGCTCAAAGCAGCTGCCTTCACTGCTGACTATTCCCCCAAAGCCCATTAGCTACGTCCCTCCAGCCAACCAGACCTGGAGCTGTGTTATTTTTATTCTAAGCGGGTTCAGAGGAATTTAAAATGCAGTATCTAATTTCTCCCCCTTCTTTTTGATGGCCTCCTGGTGGCTGTAAGAGCGCCAGTTCCAATGATGAGCAGCTCGTCCCAGGGTTCTGGATGAGGGCCCTCTCTGTCCCCATACCCCGATTTCTTGGCAGTTTCACTTCTTCCATTGAGTGCCCCTTGGCTGCCCAAGCCTCAGCTCCACTTACTGTAGAGGGCAAGGGGAAGCTGCATGCTTGGAGGTTTCAAGGGCAGGAGCAGGAAGGTATGTGCCTGGGATCTGGCAGGGCATTTCCCGGCATCCCAGAGGTGACTGAGTTGACCCTGGCAAAGGTTATCCACATGCAATCTAGAAGCATCCTAGTTTTTTTATCAGAGCGTTTACAGCACTCCCTCAAATGTCACCAACTCCTGAGAGCCTTCCATGGTTGCCTCTGCTGTACTGTGTACATATATCTTTTCTTTCTGATCTGAAGGTCTCTGGCTGAAGGTCACTTCCTCACAGAGGCCCTCCTCCTGTGTGATCACTCTCGTGCTGCTTCAGAACAGGAAGCTGAGCTCAGAGACATTAAGCAATTTGCCCTGAGTCACATATACAAAACATTGATAACTCTCTGGTGGCACAGTGGTTAGAGTGCTTGCTTGTTAAGTGACTGGCTTGGCTGTTGGAACTCACCAGCTGATCTGTGGGACAAAATGTGGCTACACATTTTGCTAACTCTTCAGCACTTGTACCCTGTCATGTCGGCTCACTATGAGCTGGAGTTGACTCGGCTGGTGGTGTCAGTTCCTGGTTTCCCCATTACTACTCACGTCAGTTAACTTCCAGTACAGATCTTCTAGCCAAAGGTGTGTGGCGGGTCTGGAGGTTCCCTGGGGGCTGAGATGATTCCCTATGTTCTCTTTATAGTGGGAAAATGACTGGGCCCCTTCTGATACGTGCAGGGCTCCAGCCAAGGTGCCTGTTCCTACGCCTGCACCCGTCTGTGCCACTGGCCATGACCTAAAGTGGCCACACCCACGCCTGAGGAGCATCTTTGTTTAGGGACCAGCCTCAGGAAGTGCTCACAGCAAACATGCTCTAACAAGAGTGTTCCTTACAGTAGTTCCAGCTGGACTGGCCAGCATCTCTGGAGCCCAGAACTGCTATTGCTCCCTTCCGAGTCTGTGGACTGCAAGGGAATCCAAGGGTGAAGGAGGCAGAGCAGGAGTTCAGCAATGGGACGAGTTCTGCTGGCACCACAGTCCTTCTGTGTGTCTTTGGGTAAATCACTCAAACTCTCTAGATGTCTCATTCTCCTCTGCATAATGATATTAACAGTCTCTCAGAATATCAACAGTTGTCTGTCCCCACCCTGTAGATTCACCTAGAACTCTGCTCTGTCCTCTCACTACCCTCGTACCACAATGGACTGAATTCCCCAGGCTTCCAGCTGAATTCTGCCAATGGAAAGTGCTGATGGGAGCTCAGGGGAAGGAGGGCAAAACATATGGGGGTATTTATTCCCTTCTCCCTGCAACTCAGAGCAGCAGTACCTCCTCCCTGACCTCAGCTTCCACTGGGTTGTGTTACAGTAGCACTCAGGTCGCTGGGCAGCTCAATCACTTTGAACTCACCTACCAACCCGAAGGTTTGGGATTGGAGCGCATCTAGCAGTGATACAGAATGGCATGGTGACTGGCTTTTGTTAAGATTCAACCCAGAAAGTCCTACAGAGCTAGACTTTACTCTGTAACACCAAGCATCTCCCAGAACTGGAATCAATTAAATGGCATCAAGTTAGAGGGTTTTTTTGGTATTCTCTTGCTTTTGTGTTTTAAAAAGAAAATACTAGCAATATAACCCCCCCCCCCCGCCCCCAGTGTCAGCCCATGGAGGAGGAAAAGTTTCCACCATGCCAGCCTCTGGGATTCTCCACACCATTTCACTTCCCCCCTTGTCCTTCCCATCCCTCTGTAAACTGTCCTCTTCCTGAAATGTCTTTATTGGAACTATCTGAGATTAGCGCTGAGGACTAGATGACCGGCACTGGGCTCAGTGAGGGCAGCCCCTGTCTGGACATGTGCATCAAGAGGGTCCTGGGCTTAAAGAGATCTTCAAGGGTCTCAATAACCTACAGTTCTCCTGCTTTCTCTCCTCAGATTCAGCATGTTCACCACCCACGAGTACCAGAGTCAAGTTCTGAATGCTGAACAAAGCACCCCACGGGGACCCAGGCTCCTGCTGCGAGAAGGAAGGACCACTCCAGGCTGCAGCCTGTCTGGGACAGCCACACAGCACTCTATACAGTGCTAACACATGGTGGGCAGGGCCGATTCCTGGGAGGACATTACCAGCCCCCAGCCTCGGGGAGGCGAGGACATTTCCCCCATTCACTCTGCAGGGTCCATAGCGAAGGCTGAATGTCTGATCAGAGGATTTACGAGGCAGATCCGAGGAAAGGGGACAGTGGACGGAGGGACCAGAGGCGATGGTCCTGATCCTGACCTTCTGGGATTATGTTTCATACCCTGCAGTGAAAACCCATTTAATTTCTGCATAACTTAGAAAGGGTTTTAAATGGGCCTGGCAAAGAGCCATTCATATTCTTAGAAGGGACAGCCATTGGAGGGAGAAGAATGCTGACCTTCTTAATTTCATGTTCTGGGCACCAGGCTCACTCAGAAAAAGAGGGGACACTCATTAGCATACAAAGTGGGGCTTCTTTGTTGTTCCATGGGAACGTGCAGCCGTGCCAGGAGGTCTCTGTGGGGCTGGGGGTGCCTGGGTTTCCGCGTACGACAGCCACAACGCCTGGTGACTCAGAGCATGCGCTCTCAGCCAGACCCCCACATCTGCACTCTGGCCTTTCCTCTTACTGATTGGGAGACCTCAGAAATAGGTGGCTTAGCTTCTTTTGGTCTTAAATTTGCTTCTCTGTTAAATGGAACAATGAACAGTACCTACATCCTAAGACAACTGTGAGAATTACAGGGGGAAACGAAAACATTTGTTTTTAAAGCCTTTGTTATAGACGGAATTGTGTTCCAATTTTAACCCTCATACCTGTAAATATGACCCTATTTAGAAATAAAGCTTTTCTTCTGTTGTATTAATTAGGGTATATCAAAGTAGGAAGGGTCCCACAACTTACCACTTCTGAAGTAGAAAAATGGCAGAAACAGGAGGGAAACAGGAAGACAGAGAGAGATGCAATATAAGCACAGGGACACCCAGAACACTGGGAATTACTAGAAGGTGAATCAGACAAGGATCTCCCCATCCACATTCTGAATTTGGACTTCCAGCCTTCTACATTGTGGCAAAATAAGTATCAGTTTCTTTCAAGTTACCCTTGTGGTATTTCTGTTTTAGCAGCACTAAGAACTCTGGTGGCCTAAGAGTTAAGAAGCTGTGCTGCAATCCTGAAAGCACACAGTTCAGATCCACCCGCGGCTCCACAGGAGAAGGCTGGGTAATCTTCTCCCATTTGACTACGTGCCTCTGAAAACCCACTGAAGGGTCAGCTATGGGTCAGTTCCAACTTGATGGAACACAACAACAGATAACTTAGATAAGTTTCTTGGCACATGGCCATACTGAGCGATAGTCAAGAAATGGTAGTTGCAATTAATATGATAGTAGTAAAATGTTATCCCAGGCAGGGTGGGATAAATCTCATTTTAAAGGGGTTTTTGGGAATTGCATAAGGAGCCAATGAGTCTCTTAAGCACACAAACTTGGACAAAAGGACATTTTCTGACTCAGAGAACATCTTCGTTGTGCCTGGCTGTTCCTGAAAAGGTAGAAATCCTTCACAAGCGGTCCTGAGAAACTGAGTGTGTGGTGGGGGGTCTAAGCAGGAGATAATCTTGAGAATCTTGGGGATTATCCTATCCATTCTCCCCACATTACAATTGGAAAACTACAGTCATGGCTGGAAATCTGGTGCCTTAACTCATACAAAGGAGAGCTTGGTAGCCTATTGTACTTGTCAACCCAAAGGTCTCAAAGTTCAAATTCAGCAGCTGCTCCATGGGAGAAAGGGGGGCAATCTCCTCCCTTGCAATTTATAGTTTCTGAAAACCTTCTGGGTTGTTTTGTTGGGGTCTTTCTTGTGGGTTGTTTTGTTTTGTTTGTTGTTATGTACCATCAAGTTAGATCTGACTGGCACAGGAGGGAAGCATCTGGTGGATTCGAACCACACGCCTTCGGGATTTCAGAGCAGCTTCTTGCCACCAAGCCACCAGAGCTCCCCTAAACCCCCACTGTGTTCTAATGAGTCAGTTCTGACTTGATACAATGAGTTAAGTTGTTGAGTTTGATTTATTCATAGAGTTCTTTCCTCTTCACCCAAAGAAATGCCAGTTCCTGCCTCCACACCCAACTTCTTTCTGACAACAGTGCTCTCTGTCTCTCTAGCACTCCTCAAAGGGTTAGGTCTAGGCTGCCATATTTGTAGCCAGCTTCAGACTCAGGCCGCATCTGATTGGTCCAGGGGTAATCTGACCCAAATGGTACAAGGAGATAGAATCTCAGAAACTGAGTCCCTTTTCTGTAGGGAACCAAGCAGAAAAATCCTTGTTAGTGTGTTGGGGTTTTGGGGCTGGAGTGGGCACTCTGACAGGCTGAAAGCCCCAGTGGAAGGATAGCAGAGGAGGCAATGAGGGCAGATAGCGAGGGCTTGTGAGCTTTCTTAGCCTCGCTCCTCACACGCTCTGTCTAGATGGCATTTCCTGTGCTAGGCTGTGGTGTCTCTATACCATCTGGGCTGCCCTTCCTGTGGGCATCGCCTCTATTCGCACCAGTCACACGAGTCCCAGCTCCACCTGACACTCTATGAACCTTCGCAGCCATGGGCAAGGCCTCCTGGCTCCTGG